ATCTATGAGTGGATCGAAGCACCTAGTTGATCTTGAGTTTTCAGTAATGCAATCTGAGGACAGATTGCTCCAGCTTATACAGGGAAAAGGCTCTATTTGTGGTATCAGTTCTCATTAATGAGATCCCACTCTCTTCAAGTATTACTGAAGATTTATCAAGTTAACCAACAAGTATTTATTAAGCATCTACTTTGTGCCAGACACTGTGCCTGGGAATACAAATAAACGTAAAAAAAAATAGTCCTATTTTCAAGCATCTTACAATGTAATCTAAATATTATGAGCTCTAATTGATCAGAGCACACAAATCTAATTTGTGGACAATTCTTTCATGCTCATGATTGGTCTCTGACCCTGAGCGGTCTCAAATGTAGACCTGTCATCTAAGGCAGGAGTGAGAATACATAGTGTATTGGTTCCCATAATTAACCTAAGGATGGCATATGGTTGATGGCATTGAGAGGGGGTAGTTTTCTTAGGAAGGGCTGTATGTTCTGCTTTGATACCAATAAATATCTTAAGAATTATTTTAACTGGAATCACTAGATTCCTAGAGCAGGGAAACATTTTGTAAAAGTTAGAAGAAAAGAAAAAAAGCTATTTTGCCTTTGACAAGTAAATTTATGAGGCTACAAGTGACTACACTTCAAAAAAAACTATTAACATATGAGAAAAAAGGATTACAATAAACCCTACTTTATACAAAAGTTTCTTCTGCTTAGCACAAGAATCTCCCAAAATGGGTCTTGCCCTTACAGGAGAGAGCAAATAAAATGCTGTACCTAGAGTCAGGAAGACCTGGGTTCAAATTTGGCCTCAGAAATGTAACGAGTTACGTGATCCCTGGCATGTCACTTAACCCTCTATCTGCTTCATTTTCCTCATCTGTAAAATAATAGCACCTACTTCCCAAGATTGCTGTGAGGATAAAATGAGATAATATTTGTGAAGTGCTTTGCAAAACTTAAGGCATTCTATAAATGCTCTTATTATAGTAATACAATAAGTAATAATAATAACAATAATGACAATTATAATAAAGGCTTGATCCATCACTTAGCTTCACTTCTGAAGATTCACACATCAGTAGCACCTTGAATCCTGAGGTAGGTCACAAGGATGAACTGGCTGATCAAAAGAAAGGTCACCCAGGGACAGGAGAGGAGGGGCTAGGGACATACTAAGCAAAAAAATGAGTGACATTTGTCTTTGGTGTCTTTTTACCTCCCTTTCAGTGCCTCTGATAACCTCCCTACCTCCTGGCTCCACCTGGAGTCCAGTGCCTATAACGCTTCCCATCAGCAAATCAACAAAATCAATATATTCAATCAACTCATCCACCTAAGGAGCCATGGCATAGAAAGAGGAAAGAGGATTAGACCTGAAGTCAGAAGATCTGACTCCAATCCCAACTCCACCACTTACTAGCAATGAGGTCTCAGACATCATGTTTCCTTGGGGCAGCTAGGTGGCGCAGTGGATAGGGCACTGGCCCTGGATTCAGGAGGACCTGAGTTCTCAAAACCAGCCTCGGGCACATAACACTTACTAGCTGTGTGACCATAGGGAAGTCACTTAACCCCGCTGCCTAACCATGCAAAAAACAAACAAACAAATAAATAAATAGACATCATATTTCCTTCTTTGTAAAACAACATTTTCATTATCTCCCTCACAGAGCTATTGTGAGATCCAAGTGAAATAAAGTGTTAGAAATGGTTTAAAATCCAAACTCTTAGATTTGTCCAAGGGTCCACGTAATGCCCATATGCCTCTAGATAAGCTATTCAGGGTTCAAGGCACATTTTCTGAAAACTTCCATTTAAAACCATAGTTCATGAGCCCCCAGCAATGTGGTTTTTTTGGTACCAATCAGAAGACACATAAGTTCAAAGTAAAAGACATTTAATTAAACAACATAGCAAAATAAATTATTAGAGAAATTTTTTGCCTTTCAAACACACAAAGATACATTATTCCACAGATTTCTACAGCAGTGGTGAGAAAGAATGTACTCAGGTAGCTAGATGGCAAAGTATGCTTGAGTCAGGAAGATCTGAGTTCAAAACCTGCCTCAGACACTTTCTAGCTCTGTAACTCTGGGCAAATTACATAACATCTCTCAGCCTCAGTTCCCTCATCTTTAAAATGGAGATAATAATACAACCTACCTCCCACTGTTTTATTGAGGGTCAAATGAGATAACATATATGAAGCGTTCTTTAAATCATACAGCAATATATAAATGCTAGCTATATATAGCTAGGACAACTCAGGTTCCTTTGGCTGTACCAATATATCTCCCTATCACTTCTACTCTTCATCTGCTGGTGGAATAATGTTATTAAGCTTCAGATTGCTTTGCTATTTGATGCTGCTGTCTACTGGTCCTCAGCTGACTATACCTTACTGGGTAGTCTGATAATTTATGATTATTCTGTCTTTTATCATTCCTTCAAGGTAAGGTGGGGGTGGGGGGGAGGGATAGAGGGAGGGCTGATAGCTCTTTTAACACATGGCTAAAAGAAATTATTTTGTAATTTTGATATTTAAACCCCCAAATCACCACAAACCAGAAGAAAACCTTAGGCTCAGATTAAATCTGTTTTTTGAATACCTTTGCCCAGGGTGTGAAAGTAAATGTTTAATGTAACCTACAGCTGGGGGATGGGGGAGGAAAATGTACTCAGGACACACTTTTAAATTTAACCTGCATCATTAACATCTTCTCCTTCACTTTATTAAGTCGAGACAATCAACAAAACTTTGAGATGTAAAAGCTAACATGGAAGATTTAACAATTGGCTCTCAGGAGTGGCCTCAAGCTGGCTCCTGCACACTCCTGCCTTCTCATCAACCTAAAGTGCCACTCCCAGAGATCAACTCATTATTTGACTTACGGTGTGAATTAACTCCTTTCTACTCCAGTCCTGCCAATCATCTATGGAAATCACCCCAGGGAGCAACACTGAGGGCTAGGTAGACCTAGGAACCTTTGTCCTATTTCCTACCCAATAACAAAGTGGCTTCTTTGCCCTTCCTACATATATATAAGTGAAAGCTACTATTATTATAGCTCCACTTAAAGTCTATACCTCATCATGGGGGTGAAGGTGACCTTTTTATGGTAGGGACTATTCTGGGTCACAGTAAATGTTTGCTGGCCCACTTCACAGGTGAAAGACATCCTAATATGTGAAATCCTGAATAAAAGGCCCTGAGCTAATGTTAAGCTGTTCACTGTGCCTATAGCATACTTCAGAGTCTGGAGACCAAAAGAGGAGAATTAAGAATTAAATCAGAAACTCAGGTCATCAACAAAATTTGGCTCCCTTCTTCTTTGTATGAACTCATGATTACTTGTATAGGGGAAATTCCTAAGATGTCTGACCAAAGCCACAAAGAATAGGCTTCAAACTCTATGAGAATGGGCCCCAAGTCTGACTCATGGTGATTCAGATTCTTTCATCATTTCCTTTCTCCTTCCTTTGCCACCTCCATCAATACTCAAAGATTCTAAAGTGTAGGAGTCCCAGAGGTGGGGAACCTGTGGCCTTGAGGTCACATGTGGCCTTCTAGGTCCTTAGGTGTAGCCTTTTGACTGAGTCCAAATTTTACAGAACAAATCCTTTTGTTAAGGGGATTTGTTCTATGAAGTTTGGATCCAATCAAAGGGCTGCACTTGAAGACCTAGAGGGCCACATGTGACCTCAAGGCCACAGGTTCCCCACCCCTGGTAGACACAGAAGCGGAAGTGATAGATAAACAGATCAGAGGTGGAAGGTTTCAAAAAGGAGAAATCTGGGAAACCATCTTAATTCTGCATGTAGAATTGGGGGACCACAGAACCCCTCTTATGTCCAGTCTTCTTGAGGCCTTGATCGCTTGCACAGAATATCTTTTAATAAATCTTACTTAAGACTTGCTGGTGGGTTTCCTCCTTTTGCTCTCCCTAGTGTGGCTGTAGATAGACTACTTAGGGGCTATGATCTGCCTCATTAGGGAATAGCTACACATAAAAAAAAGCATGTAAATCTTTGAAGCATTGTCATAGTAATAATATAAAACCATTTATGTAGATCAAAGTAAAGTGATGAGTAGCCAAGCATGTTTTCACTTCAAAGCTATAACAAAAACAGACAAGCTCCCCCCCCACTCCCACTACTTCAGTCTCTGGGAAGGAGAAGGAGATTAGGCTGACAGCTTACGTCAGTTCCTATATGGCAAACTAGTGCTGTTTTGTATGCTGGGCAGGCAGCGATATCTGACCTGAGATTCTGGCTCCAAGGTTTCAATGGCTTGAACACCTGTGTTCATGGTCACTACTATCTGGACTTAAAATTAAAAAGGACAAGTACAACAAATCAAAACTCTAAACTTGATTCTTGGGGCCACAAGGCCTAAACTGGGGCAAAGATTGGTGGTTCCCCCCACACAAACATGCCCAGCTTAATGCACGGTGCCCACGCCATGCGTGAGCAAGACCTTCACCCTCTGGATGCCAGTGGAAAGAGAGGGCAAGATTGTCATGTCTGTTACTTTTGTTTTCAATAAGTTTTTATTGATACTTTCAGTTTCTTATATCACCATAGTTATGCCAAATATCCCTTTCCCACCCCCTCCCAGAGAGGAATCTCATATGACAATATATTACATACACATATATACATATACACATTTAAGATATCTGATATAGGGAGGGAAAATTTAGCATAACTGATGGATTGTTGAAAAATCTGAAAACATGGGGCAGCTAGGTAGTGCAGTAAATAGAGCACTGACCCTGAAGTCAGGAGGTCCTGAGTTCAAATCTGGCCTCAGACCAAACACTTGACACTTGGACCTCCCACCTCCATGAACTAGCAGGCTGGAGATATCCTCTCATCTCTCTTCGTTTGATTCCTGCTTGATCTTTATAATTTTCTTATATTCACTTTTAATTCTTTTGGTGTGTAGTTCTTGTCATTTACATTGTTGTAGTCACCATGTATATTGTTTTCTTTACTCTGCATCAGTTCATGCAGATTTTTCCATGCTTCTCCATATTTACCACACATACATTTCTTACAGCATAGTAACAATTCATTCCATTCAGATACCACTATTTGTTTAGCCATTCTCCAGTTGATGGGCATCTACTTTGTTTCCTAGTCTGTTAGTTTTAAAGACTTCTGTTTCCATGGAATGGAAGGAGACTGCTCCCAACTATGTGGTAGAGAATTCAAGATGTTTCCTCCTAAAGCAGATCTCTGCCATCTCCCATGTGGGTACCTCTATGTTGGTGATCTGGGCACGTGCAAAGCACTGGAAACTAAGGGGGAGGTGCTCACCTAGTAGAGAATAAGCAAATAATGGTTTATAAATGAAATATCATAGGAAATGGATAGCAAGGAAATACCAAGGAATAGTGGGAAAACGTCTATAAACTAATACAGAGTGAAGTCAGGAGAACCAGGAGAACAATTTATATAATGACCACATTAAAAACAGCTTTGAAAGACTTTGGAATTCTTATTAATGTAGCTAAACCAGGAATCCAGATAACTGAAGATGAATGATGCCACCCACTTTCTACTAGATAGGTGATGGCTTCTAAAAATCTAGAATAAGATACGCATTTTAAAATTTTCAATGTCAAATGGTGGACTGTGCCTATTTGTTTTTAAAGTTTTGTGATGGGAGTTTTTGGAGGTTGGGTGGGTGTATTGTTCCATTAAGGGAGCAGTGGGAGGTATAAATAAATAATAAACAAAAAGAAAAAGCTGCCCATTCAATAGGCTTAAAAGGAGAAACAATGTCGAATTCATTCTCTTTTCCTCTCTTTCAAAAGTGTGGCTTGAGATTATGACAACTTTCCCTTGGACTTCTATCTTGGGAATGCCATGCATACAGAGAGAGAGAGAGAGAGAGAGAGAGAGAGAGAGAGAGAGAGAGAGAGAGAGAGAGAGAAGAGAAAGCAGGAAAAACATGTTTTCTAGGTAAGCCTTAGATTGGATTTCAGATCCTTAGCTTCTATTCTGTATTTCTTTCCTGGACTGTAGGTACATGGATCCTGAGATGCCTAGCTTTGGTGGTTATCTTGTGAGCTTGAGCAGTCTGGAGTCACTGAGAGGTCTGGGTATTGTATGCCCAATACTTCCTGCAATTCTGCTGCCCTTCTCAGAGGAGGTAACTATCACACAAGGTTACAGTTTTGCAGGTTAGGTTGGCCAGAAAATAGGAACTTCGAGTTGTGGCTTGGACTGTGCAGAGTGAAATGAAAGTGAAGTCTATTCAGCATAGCAATCTTCACTTCACCCGAGAGAATAATAGAAATGAATAGAAACAAGTATTTCTGCATTTTAATGGTTTCTATGTTTACGATTGAGAGTGTTATGTGTTCATGTATCATTATGGGCTCTGAGTCCTCTGTTACTGTTACATGTCTTAGCAAGTGTTTGTCAATATGTACTTACATCTTCTGCATTTTAACCATTACTCTATAGTAGAGGAAATAAATGGATGCCTTGTACCTGATATGTACTACCTTTCTAAAAAATATTCTGTTAAACTCCTTTAGGGGACATCCCAGACTTGGGCCAAACCTAAACTCTATTTAAGAGATTTTCCAGATACTTCAGGAGAATGATACAAAAAGCCTGAAGACGTCTCTCTGGAGTCAGAATTCCCCCAGGACTGAATTCAACGGCAGGGGCCGTTGTGAGAAAGCCCGAGGGCTCAACTCCCTTCTCTTAACTCATAAAATTTCCAAGAATTCTCTTCATTCATTCATCCATTCATTTTACTGCCCAAATCCTTATGCAAAGAAACACTGGTTTGTCCTTAGTGCTGTTTCCTAATCTTGGTATTCCCCGTCCCGCCCTACCTGCTCCCCGCGACCCCAACTTTGTGCTGTTGCACCAACTGTTCACTAGGTGTGGAATGCACTTACTCCTCACCTCCGTCCCTTAAAATCTCTGGCTTCCTTCAAGATATGCCTCTTCTTATCGCAAGTCTTTCTTGATCTTTCAATCATTCCAATCACATTCCAATCCAAATAATAGTGTACATAAACTTGTTTACGTGCTGTCTCTCTTTACACAGTAGGCCCTTTACCTTTATTGAATGATTGATATGCTGTCTCCTCCCTGGAGAAAGCAAGCTCTTTGAGGGCAAAGATAGTTTTGCATTTTATTTTTGTATCCTCTGCAATTCGTGCAATACCTTGCCCGAGGACTTGCTTAAAGTTAGGCAAATAGGCTTGGATACAAAAAATATATATAAACTATATGCAAGTCCTTGACCTGGAAACAAGGTCCCTTTCTATTATTATTATTTTTTGGTTTTTGTATTGCATATTGTAGGAGGCCACTAATCATTCGTTACGGTAGTCTAGATTGTAACTTGATACAGGGGAGTATCGGATAAGGAATTAGATGCAAAACCCCAGAACGCAGCACAGAAGTGAAGACCTCACCCACTTCCCCAAGCGGGAATCCTTCACCGCGGGGAGGGGCCAGGTTGTGAAAATGGTATGGACGAGGGAAGGAGGGTTCTAATCCAATACCTGCGACAAATGTAAAATTAAAGCTCCTATATCTTAACATATCCAGGCAATCTATAATTTTAAGGATATTTCAGATCAAAACTGATAGCTCCATCCCCATGACATCAGCCTTTTTTGGAGGGAAAGGGAAGAAAATATTAGTACCTTATTCTTTACCTCTGAATTATATGTCAAAATGGTGTGATCCAGTCATAATTTCCGGAATTGAGGAAATCGGGCGCTCAGGACTTTTCAGCTCCGTTACTTAGATTGGCAAGGAAGGTTAGGAGACTGAGGGAATGCGCATGTGTGGTCCGCCTCTTCCTCGTCCCAAGCGTGACGTCAGGTGGGCTCCTGGACTTCATCTGGGCATTTAAAGGGTGAGAAGCAGGGGCTCACGTAGTTGCCCTGGAGGGAGCTTGCTAGCTGAGGTATGGGAGAAGCGGGAAGGAAGTCGGGGGATCGGGAGCGCTCTGGCTGCCGGCCCATAGAAGGGATCCTGAGAGGGGACTATGGTTTAGAGGAAAGCAGCCACAGATGCTGAATCCCTATCCTGGTCCAGATGTTCCACCCGTCCCCACCTGCTTATTTTTAGAAATCGAAAGGGTGAAGGAAGGTATTGGGAGCAGCCCTCCTTCCCACTCTTCCCCCCCCCGCCCCCGTCGTTCCTCTAGATGCTTAATCCTGGCACAGTTCTACCCCTCCCTGACGCCCCCTTTCCCTCCCGACACGGGTATCCTAGTATAATGGAAAGAGCCCTGGATCTGGGAATAGAAAGCCTGGGTTCTAGTCTTCCCTTTGCTACTTGGTGCTGCTGGGTTGACCTCGGGCAAGTCACTTCTTCCCACCGAGCCTCACTTTCCTCACCTGTAAAATAGGGATAACAATTACTTGCACCCACAGGGTTGTCAGCTAGAAAGTGTTAGAAACTTACTGAGAATGTGAACTGCTCCTCTTTCATTCCTTCCTCTTCTCTCCCACCCCCAACTTTTCATTCTTTGAAATGTCATCTTACAGACCGTCCCCTTCAACCTGTACTAGTCTCCCAGTTCTTTTGACTCTTAGGCCTATGACCCTTTCGGGAACTATTTACTGATGGAGCAAGCATTGGTAATTCCCTAATTCTAATGCTGTCTGGTCTCCCCTCAAACAAAATTGGTTTTCCTATCTCTACCCCATTTTTACATACCGTTTTCCTTGGTTGGTTTGGGGAAAAATATATGATGTATTGGCTTTGCCCTGTACCCTCCTCAGCATCTCTGACCAGCTGTTTCCTGTTTTTTAATTCAAATGTTACCTTCTAAGGGATGTTTTTGCTGATCCTGTTCCCTTCCTGCCCCCACCCTGTTCTCTCCCTCCCCAAATTATCTTGTACTGACTTATCTTTAAAAAGGTTGTACTATGACCTCTCAGTATAATGTAAGACTGAAGGGCGAGTTGTTTCCAGCCCTACTACACTGCCTTGCATATAGCAGATATATAACACATACTTGTTTCATTGAATTTTTCTTCCTCTAGCAGGTTCCCTGCAGAGAGTGAGGATTAGCCCCCTCACCTCCCTATGGGCAGCTGGCAGGCAGGAGAGAACCTGCAGCTCTGCCTGGTGCACCGTCCACCTCTGGTTTGTGCTGCGCTTGCATTGTTACTACTTGGGGCTTCAGGCCTAGGCCTTGGTGGTTTTATCCTTAACCATGGTGATGGGCTTCGAAATCCTGATATCCCTCAGGTGAGATTACTCCCTATCATTATTTCTGCAGGTCTGTCTTTCCTGTCAGTTTGTTCTTACAACCCTGTTACCACCTTTCTGCTTATAGGACTGGGTCTCCTTCATGAGATCTCTGGGTCAACTGACTCTGTGCCCTTGGAATAGGACAGCTGCAGAGAAACTATCTGGACCTGAGTCTCGAACTGTGAAACTGCTGACCAGTTTAAACTTAGGAGAGGTTATCAAGAACAGGACTCAACAACTAGGAGCCACTGTCCGTGGTCACCAACTGGGACTAAGTGGTGAGAGAAGAAAATGATGAGGGGGTTAGGCATGACCTGAAATTCTTCCTTTCCCATAGTTTCTTAGGAATATTTTTCCTGTCTCTCCCAAGAATGTGAAATAACAATCCTTTATATCTGAATACAACTTTCAAGGTACCTTTATATACATTACCTTACCTGTCATAGGGAAGCCTCAAGGCAGACAAGTGGTATTATATTCATTTTACAGATGAGGAAATTGAGAAAGCCTTCTCTTCCCAGTAGGAAAGTGTTCCTTTCCTTTTCTTCTTAGCATCATATAATTATAGAATGTCAGAGCTAAAAGGACCCTTAGACACCATGTAGTCCAACTTTCTCATTTTACATGAGTGGAAATGGAGGTTCAGAGAAATGATGTGACTTGCTCAGAACTAAAAATCTAGATTTCTTGTCGGTCAGAAGTACTTTCTGTTATACCGCACTGGGTCATGGTGTTGGCTGAGAAGCTACTATATGTTGAGTGCTTTGGTGGATATAAAAATATTTTTCCAGGTTATGGTTTGAAGGAACTTATTAATGAGATTGGAAGAGCAGACCTGTGGTTGTATGGGAATCGCCCCAGCTCTACCACCGGCTCACTGTGTAATATTGGGTCAGTTTCTCTGAGCCTTATTTCTTCAAATCTAAAATTTTCATTTCTCTGAGCCTCCATTTCCACTCATATAAATGAGAAAGATTAGATGATGTCTAAGGTTCTTTCTGGCTCTGACACATTGTGATCCCAAGAAGAAAAGAAAAGGAACAGTGTTAATGGATCGGGGACTTGGTTGTTTGGTACTTCAGGTCCCTTCCAGCTTGAAAGAAGTATTGTGTTCTTTCAATTGAATTGGATATACTTAGTTGAATATGTATAATGTAGAATATTTACATGGGCATGTATAGAAAAGAATACTCCACCAATTCCCTAAAATGTATTCTCTTGAGTTTCCATCTTCTCTCATCTTCCTTCCCTCCAGGCTCTTCTGCAGAGGAGCCAGTACTGATCACAGCCCTGGTGCCAGTAGAGAAAACCTCTGGGATTTGCCTGGTTTTCAGTGCAGCTCCCAAAATCCTGCCCTCCAGCCAACCACCCACATCCTGTTTAGAGGAAGAGGAGGCAGATATTGTGAACACATATGCCTCTTCCAAGCCAGAAGAGGAATGTTATGAGGTCTGGAGCCATGAAGGCCTTATTCTCACCAAGCTACTTACTATGGTAAGAGCCCCAGACTGTGAGACCCTTAGCTCTCTTTGTCATCTTCCCACCTCTACCATATATGAATCTTCCTTGTTTGTGTTCCCTGAATTATTTCTTTTTAGTCTGTTCCTGAGGTTTAGGACCTACTTCCCCGGTCTCAACTCCCCTCCTCCTCAACACCCCATCTTCCCCCAAAACCACTGCGAACCTGTCTCCTAATTCATTGCTGTCTAGGAGGGCTTTGGCAAGGGAAATAATCCTATCATTTTCTTTCTCCCTCTATTTTACCAACCCACAGGAGGAGCGTGTTTTGTGTGGTTCCAGACTTCTCTACTTCAGCTGCTTTCTTCTCTTCTTCTGTGGCTTCCTGTGCTGCTTTGCAGCAGTCTGTACCCATCCCCGTTGGGACACACCTTGGCAGCGGCCCCATATCTAAACTCGACAGCTTCAGGCTGTACTTGGCTTAAAGGTAAGAGCCTGTGCCGCTCCTTTCTCTAGAAGACATACTGTTCATGCTGTTCAGCTCAGCAGGGGAAGAATGAGAATCCTGGTGCCTGAAATTCCACCACTGAAGGTTCATTCATTCAGCAAACACTTCCTGAATGCTTACTGTGGGCCCCATTGCAGATAGTAAGCACAAAGACGTAGGGTTTTGTGAGTAGAAGAGACCCAGGGACAGGATAGGATGCTGAAGACAAATTCACTCCATGATTTGGGTTCTGTGTGTTTCAGTTCCTTCAATGGAAACAGGAACTGTTAAATGCTTGGACGTGTATGGACATATTGTCCTGAATTAATAGGGAAAAAATGGCAGATCCCTAGTGACTGGTACTGTTCCGAATGCAAAATGTACTTCATATAACATTTTCCTACCCTTCTTTGGTGATCATATTTGTTCTCTAAATTCCCCAACCAATGTTCTTGGGTTTTTTTCTCTGGGAGTCAACTTGCCTTAAACAATTGATGCTATGTGCAACACCATGTGAGCTAGGTGCCCAGGATATTAAAGCAAAACAAAACACAGTTCTTGCCCTCAAGCAGTTTACAGTCTGATCTCTTTTTCTTTCCCTAGGTCTGTGACTCATGTTCTGTAGGCTCATCTGGGCCCCTGGAGTTGGATCAGATGGGAGGGGGGAACTAAAAGAGGGGCTTGAGGATCATTAAACATATTTCTTATCCCTACAGTGAGTCTGAGATGTTGTTTTTGTGAGTTTAATAGATACTAGGCTAGTCTGGAAAGTGCAGATATGCTTTTCTCCACCTGGAGATTTGGGGCTACTCTCTGCTCTTTGGGCAGGAATGACCAGAGATAAGGGATTGGTGTTGATAACAACAATAATAATAGCATCTATAGAATGCTGTGAGGTTTATAAAGTTCTTTCCCTGTGCGATAGGGGAAAGAACTGAGAATTTAGGCCCAGCTCTTCCACTAGCCTCAGTTTCTTGGTATGCAAAACACTGAGACCAGCTCTGGCATTCTTGATTCCTTTCATTCTTTGGCATTCTTTCCTTGTCCAGATGGTCTACAAACTTCAGAGTAGCCCACTTTCCCGCCTTTTCTTCCTCTGGCATGCCAGTCCTCTTGACCCCGCCCAACGCCTCCCGCGCAGGCGTAAATCGCAGTGTCTCTTTTTCCTTCTAGGCCGTCCCTCTCAAAGCTTCCCCTAGCAACAGGCTGGGACCTGAGGCGGGGTGAGCGCATGCGACCTGTCTCTTGCCAGCTCCCCTTCCCCCGCCTGCCGAGATTCGGAGAGAGAGAGGAGGGGGTGGGCTTGGCGCTCTGGACTCCTCCCCCCTTCCAGTCTCCTCCCATCGGGAGTCCGCGTGGCGGAAGCGCGCGCGCGCACTCCGGTCAGCCTCAGCCTTGCTGGGTGCGGGAGCCCTGCTGTGGCGGCGAGGACGGCGGCCGCGGGAGGGAGGTTTCCTTTGGGGCTCCTCCCTCCAGGCCCCGCCTCCTTTGGCCCGGTATCCCCCTACCGCGCCTGCGCGCTCCCGCCCGGCCACCATCTTGGAACTGGGGGGAAGCGAGAGAGGGAGAGGGAGAGAGAGAGAGAGGACTGAGAGAGGATCAGCCGCCGAGGGTCAGACAGGCAGACGAGCCGAAGGAGGGGGAGAGAAGGGAAGAAGGGGACAGGAAAAAGATTGTGAGAAGTCTAGCGGGGCCCGGGGGAAGCAGCTGCAGCAGCAGGAGGGAGCCGGTGAAGGAAGGAAGGAGGGAGAGAGGGAGGGGCGGGCAGGGTCAGCTCCAGCCTTTCCCGCCTCCCCCTGGTGGAGAGAGGGGGAAAGAGGAAGCCGGGGCGGGGGTGGGGGTCGCGGGGCTGTCACCTGCCCCTCAGCCCCAGCCACCACCGCCCCACGGGGTGCCCAGGGGGTTAGTCAGGAGGCACTCGCCGGCTTGTCATTTGCCGGCCCGAACATCTCCGAGAGGACATCGCGGGGTGGGGGGGAGTGTCAAGCGCTCCCCCCCTGTCGCCCAAGGAAGTGGGGGGGTGAGGAGGGGGCTCCCTTGCTCTCCTCCCGCCCCCTCTCCAGCCTGGGATCGGGGCAAAGCCGAGCAAAAGGCAGCGAGGGGGGTGGGGAGTCTCCTTCCCCACCTCCCAGCGACCCCAAAGCCACTGGAGGACCCTAGGAGGAGGCGACGGCGGAGACGCTGGGGCACCATAGCGACCCCCTCCAGGTAAGAAGCTTCCCCCCGCCCATATTTGCGGGGCAGCGTGGTGTGGTGGGCAGCATGCTGCACTAGTCGGGGCGGGAGGGGGGCGGGAAGGAAATGGGGGACCTAGGCTTAGTCCCCTGATTACAGTCTTAACTATCAGTGTGTGTGACCGTAGGCAGGCCAGTCGTTCTCTTAGGGCCTCAGTTTGTCCATCTGTAAAATATACTTACCTACCCCATCTGGTTCTTTTGAAGAAAGCGCATTGTACACTTTGTAAACCTTAAATCGTAACATCAATGAGTTACTAGTAGTTGTCGTAGGGAGGGAGCGCCCCCCTGAGGGAAGGGTAGGTTGGCCACCTTCTCAAGTTCTTGTCCCTTATTCAGAAGGCAGAATCCCTGCATTCTCAGGCTTTGATCTGGGAAAGCATTCTTGTATTCAGGGTGCTGATACCTTGTGACAGCTCTGCCTGGGGACTGCAGGGAACAACACTTCACCTCAATGGGGGGCTCAGATGACAGCATTCCTAATAAGTGAAGTGTCTGTAGGAAGGGGCATTTTCCCTGGATTGAACCTTTTTGTGTTATTTTTCTGTACTTCTGTAATTAAGTTTATTCTTGAGGTATGGGCCAGATTTCTGATTTGTTTGATGGCTTTAGTTGTGTGGGTCACCTGCATCCATACTGCCCTTTAAGCAAGTATTCGGAAGTCTTGTCTCTTTCTGTTGAAGGGAGGTATATATGTGGGAAGAGTACTTTCCATCCGAATTAGTGTTTCAGTCCTTACCTCTTGCTGTCTCTTTTTGTTTGACATAAGGCTTAGGATGGGGACCAGGAAGTAAGAGGTCAGATGTATTTTAAGGCTGAGATGAGAATTTCAACTAGAGTATTTTCCATACCATTTCCCTTCTCTGGATTGATAGAGAGGTTATCTGTACCCTGGTGGGCAATTTGGAGACACCCTAGTTGTCTTATACTTTTTCTTCCTATATTTGGCTTCCACATTTACAAGGGCCTTGACCTGGATACTTTAACAACTCAATCCAACAAATACTTATTAGGGTCCTACTATGTGCCAGGCACTCTATGGATACAAAACCAAAATGGTTCTTGCCTTCAAAGACCTTATGTTCTATCAGCCAATCAGTAAGCATTCTTATATATTTTATATATGTAATGTACCAGTCTGTCTGCTAGGAACTGGACTCTGAGATACGTGGGAGGAATCTAATTTTCACTTGGCTAATTGCCAGACCTACTGGTAGTTTTGTTGGCCTCCTCAGGCTGTGGGTCACTGTGTTCAGAGTAATTTGGGGGCTTGGGATAGGGAGAAGTATAATTTTAACTTGCAAATGGCCCAAGTAGTTTTGGTGACAACCCTTTCAGGCTGGGGGAGAGAGGCTTGGAGGGGCAAGGAGAAGGTATCTAATAAAGATGGAGAGCTGTAAGGATTAGGTTCTTGTTTGGCATCCCTGGGTCCTGAGAAGATATCAAGCTCAGTATTACAAGTTGAACCTCTCTACTTGTGGGGTAGGTGGAGGATGTTCTTAGTGGAAACACTAAGGGAAATGGACTGAGACTATAATTTATACTACTTATAGATGAAGATAGACCAGTCAAAAAGTGTTTGAACAAAACCTTATGTATTTTCAGCCCTGTACTGAGTGCCATGGGGGCTTCAGGAGAAGATAGGACAGGCTTTATGCCCTGAGGAGTTTATGTTCTGGTTATGGGAAGTGGGAAACTGACATGAAACAAGAGAGAGCAATAGGAGAATATAATTGAATTCCAGATTATGTGATATAGATTATAAATGTTGTAAGACCTTAAACAAGAGGGGGATTGATGGTTGGAGTGGCCAGGAAAGGCCTCTATTAAGGAGGTGGGACTGGAGCTAGGCCCAGAGTGGGGATCAGTGAAGAAACTGGCTTGACTGGAGTAGAAAGTGCTTCTTGGGGAATAGAGGGAGATAAAGTTGCGCTTGGTAAGAGATACAGGCTCAGATTATGGAGAACCTTGAAGGCCAGACAAGATAGAGTTTAGATCTGTGATTTGACCATTACATACTTGTTTGTAGAACCCTTTCTCTCCTTTCCCACCCCTAATCCCCAGTGAATATGGGTTTGACAATGGCCGGATTTCCACAGTGTCCGGCCTGGCCACTTCCTGTTCTCCTTCAGGGTCTGAGGTGGGGGGTGGGGGTGGGTGGGGGGAGGGAGTAGTGCAGAGAGCAGAAGCAGGAGGGTAGCTGGGCAGCTTTTGGGGGAGAAAGGGAAGAGCCAAAGGCTGTGGAGGGAAGAGGAGACCTAGAATTTGAGGCTGGGGGTTGGGGAGTAGGATTCCTAGATCTTTAGAGAACAAAGAGATCTTAGAAGTAGGGGGGCAAAGAACTGGGTTAGGGTGGTGGTTTTTAAGACTCTGCGATTTAAGGAACCTTCCCAGCAGTTTTATGAACTCTAGGACCATCTCTCCTCACCCCCTTCTTCTGTTGCCATGACAACTTCTTTTTTGGTGTTTAAATGTAGTTTCCACTCTGCCCCTGCTGGTCCTCAGCAGTACCTTGCCCTCAACAAAGGAATGGGGGAGGAGATGGAGACCTGGAGTCTTGTTCCTGTTCTGAGGATTTCCCCACCCACCCTCTCCCTACCCCCATCCTCCTTACCCCCTTGGCCGTAGAAACACCTATTTCTAAGGCTGTTTCTATGCTCTAGGCTGGGCCCCGATCCCCGTTCCCCACGGGGCCGACATGCCGGCAGGGGGCCGGGCTGGGAGCCTGAAGGATCCAGATGTGGCTGAACTCTTCTTCAAGGATGATCCTGAAAAACTGTTTTCTGATCTCCGGGAAATTGGCCATGGCAGTTTTGGAGCTGTCTACTTTGTGAGTGGGCTTTTCCCAACCCACCTTGTCACCTTGTGCTATGCTATTCCCTCTTTTCCCTTCCCAATTCCTTAGGCTCCTGATCTCTCTCTCAGGCTTATGCTAAAATTCTTTCCCAGGATGTCATCCTGCTGCCCCTCAGCTAATTTAGCCCATCCTCCCACTGTCTCGCCTCCTTCCTAGTTTTCTTCTGGGGTCCTGGCCCTATTGCAGAACCCTACCCTTACAACCCTACGGCCCTCTAGGCTCGTGATGTCCGGAGCAGTGAGGTTGTTGCCATCAAGAAGATGTCCTATAGTGGGAAGCAGTCTAATGAGGTAGGTACGATCTGGGAGGTACAAAGTGGGGGTGGGGTTATGGATAGAAAGAGCAACCAGGGCTCTAGGGCCATGTATCACCCCATCTGCTTGCCCATATTTATCCTGCTCTGAACTTGATTGTTCTCCTAGAAATGGCAAGATATCATCAAGGAGGTGCGATTTCTACAAAAGCTCCGGCATCCGAATACCATCCAGTACCGAGGCTGTTACCTGAGGGAACATACTGCTTGGGTAAACAGTGACTTTCTCTCCCACACTCCCCCACATCCCCAGACTTGGCCTTCCACCTGGCCCAGTCCCACACAACCAAGTTAAATTTCCGAGCATCTTT